GCAGCTAAATATTAGAAAGATTCTAGTGAAGTACAAGAAATTACATTATTTGAAGGTCTGGAAGCAAGTAATCAGATAGGCTGTTTCTGTCTCTGAATTCTATAGCACTGTGAGTAATATGAGTGGGAACAGAGAAATTTACTGTGAAGCCACTAATGATAAGGTATTAAGCCAGAAAATTGAAGGACAAAACCATATGTGGTGTTGAAAGCAAATTGGATTTATGCAGAAAAGTATTCTTGTTACATGTAGTCAATGCAATATGTACTAAAGAACACAAAGAAGTTCAAACAGACTAGCAAGAATTCTGAGGCGTCCTGGGCCAGGACAGTGCAACCCATAAGTTAACAAGGAACAAAGGCATAAAACCTCATTATTTAAATTAACTGACGAGAATACAAAACTTTTTTTTTTTTTTTTAAGTATAGTCTTTTACTGCACAATTTGCTATATAATAGCTAAGACAAATTCTGTCCTCTATACATTCCTTCTGTGGAACCCTGGGAAGCATGACAGCACTGCCTGGTCCTCTGCATCTCTGGAAAAAGCAGGAGTTTGAAAGCAGTGGCTCCCACACTGTTGGGTGACGTGTGGGTTTGAGCAGTCACCATTCACAAGGATTAAGATAATTTCTCATCCCCATCTACAGCTAGCATTTGAAATTCAATTAGACCTGTCAAGGTCTGTCAATTTGAGAGCTGCACATATTTTCACTGAAAGATGCGTCCTCAGTCATGAAAGGGTTCGTATTCGAACACTGTATTGGAAGTGTGGTGTCAAAAATAATTGTGGCAACTGAACATCAGCTAATAAAATAGGCATTTTTAAAACAAGTATCGTGACTGATGCCAACCATACTGTCTCTGAAGAAAGTATTGTATCTTTTCACCCAAGTAACAAGTGATAGGAGGAGGAAATGGCCTCAAGTTGTGCCGGGGGAGGTTTAGATTGGATATTAGGGAAAATTTATTCACCAAAAGGGCTGTCAAGCACTGGAACAGGCTGCCCAGGGCAGTGGTAGGGTCACCACCATCTCTGGAGGCATTTAAAAGACATAGATGTGGTATTGAGGAACATGGCTTTGTGGTAAGCTTGGCAGTGCTGGGTTACCAGTTGGACTTGATAATCTGAGAGGCTTTTCCAGCCTAAATGATTCTATGATTCTATAACTTAAAGACTGACCAGTCAATTAGAATTTAGACTTATTTAGTCACAGAGGATGCATTGGACACCCCTCTTGATAAAAAAGTAAAGAAAAAAAAATAAAGAAAACCAAAGAGTTTTACACCCTATTACAGCATCAACTGAGCACACAGGAAGCTCTAACAAAGCCATGTTCTACCAAAGCCAAGCCAGGCCACTGTGCTCTGTGTTTGCACCTGTGTTCAGACACATGGAATCTGTCCTAATATGTGCCACTGGCAGCGTCTCTTTAGCCCATCCATTGTCCCTGGGACAGCTTTTATCCTCTGGCTGAAAGCTCCTCTTTTGCCTTAAAACTGGCATGTCTCACACAGTAATAATAGATTTTGTACTGCATCCACTCTGTCCACATAACATCAGCACATCCTCCTTATCCCACAGCATGTTTGGTAGCAAGAGTATCTCTTTTGTCTGAACAAGAGAAAGTATGGACTGGGCTACCAACTGTCCTCACAGGTTAGGTAGGCCCTGTGGATGGAAAATTAAGGTTAATGGAATTTAAGGTTCATCAGAAGACCTGTGCAAGCAGATGAAGTTTGTTTAAATAATAGCATATACTTGGGATTACAGGACTTGCCTTGTTGTGCACATATTGGTGAGGCTAGACCTCTGCTTTTTTTCAGCAGGCTTGAGGAGCATTGCAATAACAGTGGTGACAACCTCTATTTATTTTACCTGCTGCTCTGGGACAAGGACAATCATGTGCGTGTTTGACATGTTGGTAATGAATTTCTTTTGTACCAGGCAAACACTGCAGAATGTCTCATCAAAACATCCTAATTAAGGAGTGGATTTGAGTAGACATACAATCTCTAAAATATCAGAAGTTCCACTCAATTTAATGTACATCCAGCAGCTCCCAGGAGAGTGTTTCAAAATCGCTAAGCTTCTGTTTAGCAAAGTGGGGATGAGCATAGAGGCTCTGAAGGACTGTAAATGAAAGATTACTTAACTCTGAGGGAATTGTCTGGCTCTTGAATGTTTTAAAGCAAGCTTCCTTCTCAGTAGCTTTTAAAAATGTGTGTAAATCAGATGTTAATATTGGGCAGAGCCTTCCATGGGTCCATTCAAATAGTTGAACACCTCTTCAAGGTCTGTCAGAAAGTGCCTTGTGATTTTGATCGATGTGATGGAGGAATTGAAACCACACAAAAAATGGTTAAAGTAGAGATTTCAGTGTGTTTTCATTTGAAAATTCATGTATCTTTACTCAAGATTACCTGAAAAATTAAGCTAAAACTAAAACTTTCAAAAAGCATTGAATTATTTAAAAGTACATGTGCAATAAAAGCGGTCAATTTACCTTAGCTGTAAACTTTATCTTAACTGTGTCAGATTTTATGATTTAAAGAGGAAATTAAATTTCTTTTTAAAATACAATCTTTGAAAACATCAAAGAGACAAGTTAGATTCAACAGCAAGTTCCTAACTACCTTCAGTCCTGCCTTATGAATCAAATGTTCATGGCCCTTTTCCTACAGCTTTGGGGACCTACCAGTATTTTGGAGAGATTCAGTGTTGGCAGATCTGTATATCTGCATAAAATGTCCCTGAAGGATGTGGGACATTGGTGGGCATGTCAAAATGAATCATTTATTATCAATTATAAAACTGTGGTTTAAAATGGGAAGATGCTACAGACTGGTCCTTGACTGTCTGATCTCTGCTGCATGCTCAACAGCTGCTCTGAAGCCAGCAGTCTTGGCTCTGTCTTATTGTAAGATTTTGCTATTTTTTCACTTTGCCTCATAAAAATTCTTATATACCAGCAAGTCTCTGCTCTGGAGGGATTATCTTTTTTTTTTTTCCCCTATGATTTCAGTATACATATCCAGGCACAGGTTTGCTAGGAGAAAAGAACAGGATCTTTAGCCTCCCTCCTTTTCCCGGTAGCAACAGCCTTTTGACAAGGACAAACAAATTATTGGGGGATGGTTTCCTCCTGTTAACTTGCAAGCTGATGCTGGGAACTTGTTACCTGACCCACACCCCGACACATGGTGGGTCCACACCGCTCTCCCAGCTCCAGGGCTGTCAGGTCACAGCTCCGTCCACTGCAGTGCTTTTTCCTTCATTATAGAAAAGAAGCAATCACACAGTGGGTGTTTTGATTGTATCTAGGCCACCACTATTTTTTACCTCCTTTAGAAACCTTTCTTCTAATGCAATATCTTTCTGTGTCCTTAAAGACATCCGTTCTGGAAGCATCACTTCTTGAACTGGTTTTTCAGTACCAGGTTTGATTTACAAACCTTGTGTAAAGACACAGGTGCCCAACAAACCCTGTGCCAAACAAAGCTGTGTGTCAGGGGCTCTTTTGTCATCAAAAAATTGTTCAAGCTGCAAGAGGGAGCTGTATCCTGCCCTGCCCTGCCGGCCAGGTGGGAAGCACAGTGGCACAACAGCTTTGCAGAGCTCCTGTTTGGCAAAGGACAAGCTGCAAGCTTTTTACACCTTCTGTTAAACCTGTTGAGAAGGCATGAGAGCCTTTCTTCTTTAAAGCACATTTGGGAGGAACAATTCGACATCACAGAGATTGTCTATGGAAAAGGTTTTCTAAGCAAACCAAAGTGCTTTTTTACACTTTACAGTGAATCCTTTCTGGGAGCTTTTTCTAGACAAGGTTGCTACAGATTGGGCTGTATTCGTGAAGGTTCCAGCAATAACCACTGTGACTGATTTGGGCCAGAAGCTCTGCTATTGACCCCAGCCCTGAGCCTGTCTCCTGAACAGTCTGTCCTTTTTAAATCTGTTTAGGAATGTTAATTTCAACCTACCTAGTAAAGGCAGTATGGAATTTAATTTACAAATATGAACAGGGTGTAATGTGAGATGGTTCTCTTGCTTTTTGTAAGAGAAGATGGCAGGCTCTGCAAGGTAACGAGCCTGTGTAAGCAGGCTTACAGTAGGTGATCACTTTCTTAATTTTCATGTTAAAGGCAGGGGAAGATTTCTGAGTTTCCCTGCCCTACCTCCTTTCTGCTCTCCTCCCCTCACATACTTGGATTATTTTCTGATCCATGGGGTAAAGGAAAAGGGTTTTAGTTCACTTTTCTCAAATTTTTGGAACTGAGTTCCTATCCACTGCTGGACAGGAGGTCTAGCCTTGGGAGATCTGCAAAAGCTTAAGACCAGCACCGGTACACTTTGATGGCACATCATTCCTGCCACAGGTGATTTTCTTTGGTGATGCTTTTCCCAATACTGCTAACTGAATACAATGTACAGTCTTTAACAACATGTATTAATATTAATTAACAGCACCTCCTCAGTTCAGGGCCCTCTCTGTGCCAGTTCATCTGCAAGATGGGCTTCTGATGACCCAGTGCTTGAGCCACAACAGTTCAGCCTGGCAATCTTTTAATTATTTTCAACCTTTCTGTCACTGTTGTGATGTGCATATGTGCTTGAACATTGTTGTAAAATCCTGTTTTGACAGAAGTTGTTGTTTGTAGTAATTTGTGTCAATGGGATTTTGTTTCTTTTCCATTGCCTGATGAAAGAGACATTTGGGCTTACGTTTTCTAGGTACTGAAGAATAAATAATTTCCTCCTAAAGCTCAGTGACTGGATGTTTCATGGATTTCCTCCCTGTTAGCACTGTTACATTTTGTCATTCTCATTTTTTATAGCACAAATAAGCTTGAAATTAACTGTCTTAAGTAAATAAATGAACCTTTAAACTGAGCCTCTTTTTTCCCCAAAGCTCAGGATTCCCATGCTTTGAGAAACATCCTTTTAGCTTAGCTTTCAGCCTAGCTAAGTCAATGCTTAATGCAGTATTCTTTTCATTCCAGTCCTACATGGAAGATCACCTGAAGAACAAGAATCGTCTGGAGAAGGAGTGGGAAGCTCTGTGTGCTTACCAGGCTGAGCCCAACGACAGCACCGTAGCGCAGCAGGAGGAAAATGTGCCGAAGAACCGCTCGCGGGCTGTAGTACCATGTATGTACACTTCCCTTTGGCTCATGGCATTTTAAGTTCTTGATACATTCCCCAATATCCTTTGCACAGTGCTGTGAAAGCTGCAGAAGGCAGGTAAATGATGTGGAGTGGTTTCTATGTGTACTGGAAAGTTGTGGCTACAGCTGTGGGCTGGGTGCATGTCCTGTTGTCTTATCAGACCCTGTTTATCTCCTTGTAAGTCCTGGATCTGTTACAAGAATGCACAACTGTGCCACATAACACTGCTGCTGCAGCTGTGCTGTCTCACAGAATTCCATACCAGAGTGATTTTCAGTGCTGGAGTATACTGTCTGTGCTAGAGTGGCATCTGTAGCTATTCAAGAGGAGTCTCTTCTTCTTCTGACCAAGACGAGTTGGTCTCTTGTCCATCCAGCAGTAGTACCAGAAGGTATTACTCTATATTACTCTGCTATAGGCAGAGCTAGATGATCTGTTTATCAGATACTCAGCTGTGCTGAAGAAGCCCCTTTAGGCTTCAGTGAATAAGTTTGCAAACTGGCTTTTCTCTACAAGGCTTCTCTAAACAGACAGAAATAAAAATAGTGATTAAAAAAAACGAACCAATGTTTATATTCCTACAATCTGCTCTTTCCTGTAAGCAGCCACCTTTTGAGCTTGAAATAAAAGTAACATATTTCTCCTATGCAAACATATATATATATATATCTCATAGATTACATCGGTAGTGTATGGACACATATTTCATTAAGCAACCAATGAAACAAAAATGAAACTGAGAATATATGCACAGTCCACAGCAACCAAAATTCTCTCAATCAGTGTGCCCACAATCCAGCTGGATATCTTGGCAAACATATATAGCTGGTTTAATTTTTAAAGTGCCCTGAAAACATTAATTTTCCCTAAGAGAGTCTTGAGTAAGTAGTATTCCTCTTTTAGAAATGGAGAAATGACAGGTAACACGTTAAGTAAATGTCATAGCCAGATTTAGAAGGAAGATTCTTTGGAAGGACATGATAATTTAACTGAGCCCATCAGTCCCTGCATATTTTCTTCAGCAGGGTTTGTCTCTTTTGTTTATGTAGTGGCTCTTTCTGCAATACTTTTCTACTCAGGAGAGGATTACAGCAACTTGGCAGTAATTATTAATTCTCCTGAGTAAATATGGTGCTGGTCAAAAGCCTTTTGGGGAAACAGCAGCAGTTTGCTGACTTCCATGTGTTTTGGGATAAGGCTTGTTGAGAAGTTCTAAAGAAGTCTAAAGTAATGCAAACCTGTGCCCTTTTACATCATGAAAAAAATCAGCACTTAACTGGCATGATAGGCAGTGAAAATTTTCCATGAAAATATGTATTGATCCAAGTTAATCTTCCTGCTTAAAGTGTTCTATCAATATGGACTTAGAGTCAGACCATCTTAAGATATTTCAAGTTCGTGCTCATAAATTAAGCTAGACTAGTTTTGGTTGCTGCCACAGAGACAGCATGGGAGCTACAGATGCTGCCAGAAATTGGTGCTGGCTATTTGACTGATGCCGAAACTGTGTCTTTGTGATATAATGAGCTATAACCTTCAGACTAGACTTGTATACCTCTGAATCCAGAAGTATCATGGCTGTGACAATGCTAAAGGACAGAGATTTTTAGCTTGAGTGTCATAGAAACATTTGGGTTGGGAAAGACCTCTAAGATCATCATGTTCAGTCATCAAGTCAGCACTAAACCACATCTCTGAATACCACATGTACATGTCTTTTAAATACACTCAGGGATGGTGACAGGTGGTCTGTCTCTTTTCATCAAACTGTACAGTGTGGATGTATCAGCCAGCACTGACCAGCCTTTGTTTCTCTGCCATTCCATGGAATTTTGTTATGCCTGGTTTTCCTATATCTGGATCTAGACTGAATCAGCACTGCCTGAGGGTGATTTGGTGAAGTGGAGGTATCTGGACATGGATAGGGTGACTGCAGTTTATCTGAAGTTTTATCTAAAAGTATTTTAGTACATTTAAAAGGGTAAAATAACACATTTGCTTTGTTTCTTCGATGTGGAAACTTCTATTACAAATATTAGTGCACTGGGAATTTTCCTTTTTGACTGAATTGCACAAAATTACCTGTCTTCACTTACTGAAGTTGCTGTGCACTGGTAAACAGCTGTCATATTATATATGTTTAAACTAGTTACTGCTTTGTTGCTGCATAGAAAATATGGCATAGAGTTTAAACAATATTAAATTTTGATAAGGTGGTGGTTATTTTAGACTCTTAAGATTAGCCTGAGATGAGAAGGCCCAGCTCACCCACATTTTTTTAAACTTTCTTGGACATTAAAACTATAGCAAAAAGCCACAGATTTCTTCATAATGTATGAAAAAGCAAACCTGATATGCTTTTGATATTCTAGAGTTGTTATGCTACATTCAGTGTATTCTCACAGAGTAATGGCTTGTTAGTGTTTCCTTACCCCTTTCATATTCATAATCACCTTGACAAGGTAGAACAAGATTGCCAATTCATGTAGATTTCCTCTTAGAAAGGCTTCAAAGAAGCTTTAATATCATGTTGTATTTGCTTTCTGTTTTTTTTCTGAACCTGTCTTGAAGTAACACAATATTATTTTTACTGATTATATAACTGATTTAATGATTATCACAATTTTATCATAGCTTACTCTTGTACCTAACTTTCCTATTTTCTGTTCTATACAGCTCTTAAAATACTTGATAGCAGAACACCTTGACACTGCACTTAAGTAATTACTAGTTTAAAAAATGCTAACAATTCAAGATATCTGGACCTTCTAGATTAACAAAACTATGACCTTTTATCCAATCAAGAAGCAGATTGCTATAATTTAGGGCACATGGTGTTTATTTTTAGTGCTGTGATTTAATGATGCCTATTTTGTTTATGAATACATGAGCAGCTCAAGAAAAGGTTTCCAAATTTTTTTTCTCTTTTTGCATCTCTGAAAAATAAACCCATCTCAACAGAGTCAACACTGTATGTTTTTATTTATGTACACCATGAAGATACACAGGTATTTTAAACATTTGGCAAACAACTTTATGCAGTGAACATCTATCAAGAACTGTCCGCCATAGCCATGTCCATGGGTTGTGGTATATATTTAAGCAACCTGCTTACCTCTGTGCTTTTCCTTTCCTCTAAAGGAGAGCAAAGCATTTAGGGGCAGAACATGCACCCAGGTCTGAGGCTTGTTTGCCTTTAGAGCACAGCCTGGGGTTGTGCACCAAAGATGGGAGCACCTGAGCAGAGGGTTGTGTGCATTTTCCATGCTACAAATGCATGTGCAAATAGTGCTCTGAAATGAACAAACCATTCCAGCAGTTTCCAAAGGAAAGTTCCATTTTCTGCAGATCATCTATAGGTAAAATAATAATAATCATCAGATTATGATTCTTCATAGTTTTCAGGCTGCACCACTTCCATTCCTCAGTAGTTCTTCACTTTCTTAATTCAGTGGAGGCCTGTGTAGGGTTTTGTATAAAAAAAAAACCAGTCTAAATCTAGAAGGAAGAAAATGATGATCCAGGCAGAATGTGCCAGGTTGATTGCTGTCAGATTTTCCTTATTCTGTGATGCCTGGATTCAGACAACCCAAATTTACCCGTATTCCTTGTTTTCAACTTTATGTTTGTTGATTCTGTTCCTTCAAAAGTATCTGATTAAAAGGAAACAAAAGACAGAGAGAAAATGTAAGTCTTACTGTTACAAGCTTTCAGTCTCCATCTAACAACAAAAATAATCTTCATTAAGCTGCAGGGCCACTGTGAGAGAAGTAAAAGATTGAGATGACATAGTACTGTAGTACTGGTCACTGTTTAATACTTCAGATAGTAATGGCATTTTATGCTCCCCTAAGTCCTTTAAGCACAGGAATCCAACTCGAGGTACCCAGGCAGAACTAGTAGGTGTAACACCAGCTCTGTGAGAGACTTGTGGCCCTCCTGCCTGCTAGCCCAAGTGTCTTCAGGATTCTCAAATATCAGTAGAAACCTACACTGAGGTATTGAAAACAAGTTTTCTGGGCATGAGTCTGTGAGATTTTGTGTCAGGATGCCTGAGTTTGAGTCTCCATGTAGCAGCCTTGACATGAGCCAGGTGTCAAAGCCCCCGATGGAGCCAGCGAGGAGCCAGTCACTGCAGCGACATCAGGAGAGCTGTGCAATGGCCCCAGCTGCTATTTGGTTTATAGTGAAATGAATAGCTTTAGGATGCCACTGTGCATCCTGCATGAGCTTCAGATGCTGGTCTAATAGGGTAAAAGACTTGGGGTCTTGTGTGCTGCCCGTTTTCCTTGTTCAATGTCTCATCTACCCTACAGTTTCTCAAACAGTCCATGTTCACATTTGGCCACCCAAATCAAGCTCCATTAACCACTTCACAAGGTATCTATGTGTAGACACCAAAACACATTTTTTTCAGTCTATAAATTGGGATTTATATACTGCAGACTCATGTGTGTTTGCTTATATCATGTCCTTGATGCTCTACCTTCTATATTTTATAATTTATATTTTACATGTATATAAAATGCAGCATTGGCTGTGTTTCTCCAGAGCTACAGGTTAATATTAAGCTTGGAAGCCTCTCTCTGCCACATGTATCCGTCTATACATTTTGCTTTTCTTTCAGCTGTGGCTTGACTGGAGCAATAGCAAATGCAAAGCAGCTCAGCATTCAGCAGCAGCTATTGTGGATACTTAAAATTATGACAAGTTTTAGCTTGGCCAGATTGCAGTAGCTAGTAACAGCATTTGTCTTTTCTCTCACTTCCTTATTACCACCCCTCTCCTCTCCTATTTCTTCATTCATCTTTCTTTCTTGTTTTTCAGATTGATTTTATGTATCTTCATTTTCCAACATTTCTTCCTTACTTGTATTTCCTGCTTCTCTTGCTTCTCACATAATCACTATGCAGTTTGCAAAAAAAACAAAACAAAAAAGGTGCTGTACATTCGGCATTTTCTCCATAGCTGCTCATTGTTAACACAACTATCTGGTGTCCATGGTATTCTGTTGGTTTTTTTTCTTCTTCCCTGCCTGTTTCAGAAGAGCTATTATGCTAGTTCCTAGAAGCTTTGAGGTGATAACAGGCATAGACAAGCACAATCTGTTCATTGTCAATATGAATGTTTGATGCTGCAACTGAAGCACACATGGGTGCAAACTCTTGATATATGCAGAAAAAACATGCACAACCTTCTTTGTACACGTCTTTTTTCTAATAGCAAATACAAAGTCTCAACACCTTTTCAATACCAAAGCCTTAACATGTCTCACCTCTGATAAACCCTCCAAGACAGTAAGATAATGGCATGGCACACTAAATCAGAGACTCTGGATAAAACACTATGTTTTTTAAAAAAAGATCATGAAGTTACTGATCTCACACCTGACTCTTATTGGAGAGTCACCCTGACATCTGTTGGCTAAATACTGATGAATCACTGTCTGCTCTCTCTCCTTCATCCATTTAAAAACATTTCCCACATTTCCTTTGGTGATTAGTTCAAACACTTTTGCTATTCAATGAACAGGGCTTATCCTGAGTGCTTGCTTAGCTTAAGGTATGTGAGAGACCACATTTACTGAATGTAATCTGTGTATCTCCTTCAAAGCCAGAAGGTTTCAGAGCTGCAATTCTTCAAGCACTCTATGACAATGCTCCTTGCAAAGCCTCCTGTAAAACACATTGGGTAGCCCAAAATCTCAGGTGTCAAAAGTTCCTATTTATGTTTTGGATTTTCTTGTGCAGTGGTGCCAGAGTGGGGTGGAAATGAATAATGTTCGTGAACATGTTCCAGTTCCTTGTCTTCTTCATCCTCAAACCTTAGCAGGGAAAGTAACTTTATGTGAATAGTAAAGAATGTCTCTTCAGTTATTTGGCATGACTTGTTCATCACTAATCTTATTCCAGGAGAAGATTGCTGACACTGTTGGGTGAGATTGAGTGGCTGTAAACAGCACTGTTACAAACATCCCTTTGTCTTGCTCATCTATTGAACTGCCATGGCATTACTGTTGAATAAAACTAAGCAGAGCCCAAACTCTCTGTCTCTGCCTTCCTGTAAGGTCCTTATAATGTTTGGTAATTCATTTATTATTCCTCAATATTAAAATAATGATTGGTTCTTAACAGCCAACTGGGAATCCTGGTTGAGTGGTGTCACAGGCCACTAGACAATGTATTCTTATTTTTTCTATTTGAAAAATCAGTGGGAAGATCTTCAATCCTCTAAAAACATCAGTTATCTGTGTTCAGTTGTAGAGAGTTACAGAAAGGGCAGCTCCACAACCTCTTTCTACCATATACTCACAGGGTAGGTTTCCTGAGAAGTAAAAATTTGCTGGTTATAAATCAGGTACAAGTTGTTTGAGATTCATATGTAGACTTAGACACCTCTCAAATTATCTGAGTGTGGTCTGGGCTTTCTTTCTTTAGTCAGTGGAAAGAAATGGCATTTCTTGCACACAATTTGGCCTGTTTGCAACAGCTAAATCAGGATGAAATTATTCATCACATAGAAACATTTCTTTTCTCATAACAGAAAGTGAGTCTGGATGATTGGAAGAGATGCAGACATCTGCATTGTCTCTGCCTGAGTATAGACCAATAAAATCCATACATTATAGATGTTCTCATGTAGAAATATTATTTTTTAAAAAAGGACTAGAGTTTGGCATGTGCCAGCTTTAAGTACAGCTGAGCAAGCACTGGTAAAATTTCAAGTTTAAAAGTGATAAAATAATCTTGATGATGGGCAAGCAACATGAGAAAGTCTCCTATGTCCAGAACTGCTGTTTTCTTTACTGGTATCTGAAGTAGCTGTAGTAACAGCAGTGTAAGATGTCTGTGTGTGCTCCAGTTGTACTTTGTTGGCATTTTCTCTCTCCCATGATCATCTCCAAGTCATAGTGTCTCCCCATAACTTACTGTCTAGCTCTCAGCTGTACTTCCATCCTGCTGTTCATATTTCAGAGAAGCCACATGGACAAAGTCCCATCACCTTCCCTTTTCCATGACCTTGCAAGCACAGGAATGTTTTCTATAATACTGGAGGTCTTTGGTGATTTGTCTAGTTTAAATCTTAAACTCCCTGAAGAGAAGAGATTCTCTTTTTTCCTGTGAGCGGTTGTAGCACATCACAGTGCATCTCATGAAGACAGGCTTTGTGATACTGAGCCTCTGGAATATCCCATTGCTGTGATGCTGTGGCTGTATCAACCCCATGGCTAGGATGGGCATCAGAAGGAAATATCCTTTCTGATTTACCTCTCTTGAAAAGCACATTAATCTGACTTTGAATTGTCTAACATAAAGTGGGTAGAATACTGGTATAGAAACTTTCTTCTCTTGTTTTCTCCTTTGCAGATGACCATTCCAGGATATGTCTGAAAGGTGAAAGTAGCCATGACAATTCAGACTACATCAATGCCAGTCCAATTGTAAGTATGGTAACCTATGAGAAGTATTCCAAGTAGCTGATCCTTGCCATTCCTTGATGTCTAAATAGACTCACTCCAGGCACTCACTGCTAATCTCAGGTTGTGAGCATCTCACAATGCTGGTTGTCCTTTCAAATTGAAGAGAAATGTATATGCATGCAATACCCTTGAAGTTTATTTACTAAGAAAAAGTCACTAGATAACCCTTGTTCTATCTTGTAATACTGTCGGTTTTTCTGTATTTGATACTAGATATTATTAACTTACAGATTATAAAATTCAGTGCTTTACTTTAGTGGAGCTTTTCATTCTCCCAAAAGGTAAAAGTAGCTTGTTCTTTTTTGCATTGTCCTAGTATCTACAGTAGGAGGAATGGTTTGTGTAGGCATGGAGAGCTGAGCTCCACTGACTTCTGAGCTTCTTCTGCATTAGGAAGTGACATTTTCTCTTACCTTTCTTCTTCTGTTGACCTAGTGATGCACAGCATGGTGGTTCTGTAGTTCTCCTGGTTCTCTGCACTTGCTGTTTTGAAAGCAGGAACAGGATCCCCTAGCCCCTGTGCATTTATTCCAGCTGCAGAGTAGGTCAGTCCAATTTTTGTGTCCAGATACTCCAGTGTGGCCCAGCTGCCATTTCCCATGACTATGTGAGCTGAACATGAATCCTTTTCTTGTCCATGAGAGGTGATAGGGAGAAAAGATCTCTATTTGCTGCCACTGAACAGGTACAAGAATGCCAGTGGCATTGCCCTGTCATAGCATCTCAATGGAAGTGCCAGGATGTCCATGTGAAGGGGCAAAAAGGCACTGTGTCCATCACCTCTGTGGGACTGCTGGGATTGCAGTCGCTCTTTCTCACAGTTTTTATTCACATTAATTAGGCACCAAAAAATTATTATAGTGCAACTGTGAGAAAGAATTTAGGATGGAGAATAAGGTCTTACTGCAGTGGGCTGTATTTGCCATTACTGGCTCATTTTCCTGGGGAGTATCACTCCCCCAGTTAAATGACTTTGTGTGGGCTAGGCAGCTGACAATTTGCAACAGCATGAAATTACAGGCTTCTTCCTTCCAGTGTTGTTGACAATACCTTTTTTCCTTAAAAAATCCCAATTATAGCTACATAGAAACAGTTCTCTGATCTTTGTTTCAGCAGAGTTCAAAGCTTTATTTCCTTCAACACATGGAAGTGCTTTATTCGAAGAGTTAAAAAACACACAGAAGCCAAAAAACTCCTTTGGGATATTTTTGTCTTTGGCTTAGGGTAGAGGGGAAACCAAAGCACCTGCATATTGAGGAATTGCCAGTTTCCATTTCAGAGGATGAGGGTAGATATGCACAGATTAGAGTTTTTAGATTGCTTTTAGGTATGTCTCTGACTAGACCAAGCTCTATCTGGCACCAGGATCAGGGGATCACAGTAAGTCATGTTCCAAGGAATATGCATCCTGCCTGTAAAATCATGCATAGAGGTCCAGCTCCAGGGCTTCAGTGCTCTGTTTGTGTCTCCAGGACCCAGCTGGTGAGTTATGTTTGGTCAAGCCTTCATCTGATAGTAGAAACTGAGAGGTTTTGTGGGAAGGACAGGAGTGGGAGGTGATAACTGGAAGTGTGATATTGTATTCTTGTTAAGAGCTTGGTTGTAATTCACATGGCAACAACATGGCATGGAAGTGGAATTACAGCCTCTGTAGACAGTGCTAAGTTGGGTTCAGTGTTGACAGCAGTGCAAATGCTGGGTTTTTCCTGAAAAACTGGGCTTCTGCAACCTGCCCAAAAGTCTGTGTAGACACAGCCTAACTAGGTTTAGTACACAAATTTGGCTGGAGAAGGGGGTAAAATCTTGCATGTGTGTGTATGTCTGTTGCAATTGTAGTTTTGGATTATAGTTTAACTATTTCTTTAATTGCACTGAAGAGTAAAGTATTAGATTAAGTAGTCTTGGAGGTGAAGAAACATCACTAAAATGTTCCATTGACAAAACTGGGAAGAGGTTTGCTTTATCAGGGTGCCCAAAGCTCATGCAAGCACAGGGTCCCTGCTCCCACAGCTTTAACTCCTGTGTTTTTACAGAGTTGTAGTCTTGCTTTTCCATACAGCTCTTAGTAAGGGTCCTTCTGCAGGGTTAGAACATATTTCTTTTTTGTAGTTTTCCCAGATTCAAGAGTTCTGCTCAATACAACAAATCACTCTGATGAACCACAAATCCTTATGGCTGTCTTTGTATCTCTTACAGAAATACTTCTATGCCCAGAAATAAGTGGGTTCACAAGGGTTTCATTAGATCAGGACAAGTGCCCAATAACTTGCATAGCCAAGAAAAACTGCCAAGAAAAAATTTTAAGTTCCTCTTTTCATGGTAGGATAGAGACCCTGCTGTGAGGAGAGAAGTGCCACAGCTACATTTGTGTAGATCTGCTATTCCAAGGAAAGAGGTGCTCCAGTTAGTTGCAAGAGTTTGCTCCACTGAGCCAGTAGCTATTTTGCTATTTTGAAAGCAATAGATCAAAATGTGTTTCCTGAAGGTGATCCAGTGGGAGCTGATAGGAGGAAATCCCTGCTTTGCAAGCCCATGGTCTGGAAAGATTCCCGGCAAACTACTGAATTTTGAGCCAAATTAAATATTCTCAGATTAGTGTAAACATATTTGTTAATCTGGTGTAGTTTTCATATAATGAGGTCAAATACAGAAGTGGCAGAGATATTCAGTCTCTGTTCTCCCCACTTCAAATGCCTACTGCAGTGTTGAATTGGGCACTTGATTCTGCAATATTTACTGTGTTTATACAGCTAGTGAAGCCCAAGTTGGACATATGTGCTATTTCTGCTGCTGTTTACTTGAGATCTTTTCTGGTAGCAGGCACACATGTAGTCAGTGTCCGTGTAAGCACACAGTGGATGTGGAGTATCAGTACAACTGCTTTCACTCACTCTTGCAAAAATCCTACCATTTCTTTCCTTCAGACTGTTTCAACTCAAGTAACTTCAGTAATTATCCTGTCAATACAGTGATGCTCCTGGTGCATTTGTTCCTTGCAGTGCCTGGGTGAGGAGTGAGCACTGTTGTGAGAAGGCCATTGAAAGCGCAGGATCAGGATGGGATGAGCTGACTGGAAGAGGCTTTTTCCTCCCCATGTGTGGGAGCTGTCTGGTGCAGGAAGAGTGTAAAATAAAATAATTAAGTTTCAGAGAGGGAGGCTGCCAGTCCTGTACATGTTGCTGGGTATCTCCAGCTTCTGGGTCAGTGGTCCAGTCTCCAGCTGGGGCTCACTCAACCTTCACTGAAGTCTAAATGAGTGCAGCAGCACACCGTAACAAAATCCCTGTGCTAGACAATGAGCTGGCCACCTGCCCACATGTTTCTTCCTTTTAAAAAATGCTGCTCCCCCTCAATACCTCAATACCTCACAGTAGGATGTGAAAACTGGGGTTATATTGGTGGCCTCACTGCAGCTGGGAATGGGTGAAGAGAATCAGGAAAGATTTAGTCCAAATTCTTCCCCATATGTCTTTTATTTCACTGTAGCATGAGGCCAGGCAAAATGAGTCCTTAGGATAAATTTGCAGGGTAAAAGTGAGGTAGAAATCTGTTTCCCTCCTCTCTGAAATAACATAAAGTACTATGATAATAACTCCGGTATTGGCAGCTGAATGAAAGGCTTGCAATTACAGCACAAGGAGACCCTGACTGTGCAGAATAAAACTGTGATAATTACTTCTGTCATATTTGTACTTAGTCCTCATTAAATTTCAGGAAAATCATCCAGTAGTAAATAATGTGCAATCTTTGCTTTTAAATCAGAGGTCATGAAAGTAAATGGGAAATTCTGGTTTTCCTCATAGGATGTCTGAGAGAGAAAAAATCCCATCAACTACATTTAAAAACTCAGTTTGCTTATTATTGAAGACACCAGACTGAGGAATGTCATTAGCATGACAGTTTGTTCAAATACAGCATACAAATTTCATCAGCAAGAATAGACTGAAATTCATAATGGCATAGGCAACCAGATTTGCTTCTTTCTTTCCATTAGGGGCTTAAGAGGAAGGATTTAAAAAATTGTTTTAAATTCTAATTCAAACACGAAGATGAGGACTAGTCTACCTTTTTAATTTTAATGCTGGGATGAATGATTACAAAGTTCATCTGCATTTGCTGGATACGCTTTCTTCTGCAAAAACAAACACACTTCCTTTTTTAGAGACTGTCTATACTTTATGTAATAAATATATGCATGGAAGTAGGTTTTCTTGGTGTTGTAAACACATTAAGTCTGGAAACCACACAGAAGCTTGAATCCATAAGAATTTTTAACGTGTTAATCAGATTTCAACTTCCTTCCTGTCATATTTGGTCTACACTGGATTTCATTCTTATCTCATGATTCAGGAATATTTCAGATAGACTCAGATGATTTAGATGAAGGTAAACATGCTGTGACTGAGACCACATCTCACCCAGCATCTTTCTCTGTAGAAAGTAAAGATCTGACAAGCTGAAAGGGAAGAAAAAGGGAAGGAATTAATCAGTACTGTCGTTTATTTGAAATTTCAAAATGGTCATTGATGCCTATTGATACTTTTACTTCAGTTTGCAATTTACAAGACTGCTTAACAAGAATCTACATGTATCATTCTCAAGGATTTACTCCCACAATGTATTGATTTTTCATCAGCATTATCAGTGAAATCATGCAGCAGCACAATCTCTATCAAAAACTCAACAAAATTCAGCATTCTTCAGGGAATCCTCACCAGGTCTTAGACTAAGGCAGCTGGATAATAGAACTCTTGAAGGAAGAACCAGTTTTTATTCTTTAGTAATGCAAAGGTGTAATCCTGGTCTGGTATTAACAAGATTCAACCAATTATGATAATATTGTTCACATATTTTCCTACTTTAAGGGACTGTAAGTCAGCTTGTACTACAAAGCCCTGTAGGAAAACACAAATTGTGCCACTAAAGTTTTCTCTAGTTTTTCTTTTCTGAGAAGAAATCTCAGTGTTCCTCCTTTTTCTTTTAATTTGCTTTTGATTCTGGTAGTGATGGAAATCAGTACAATCAATTGCTTGGCCAGTTATAGTAATCCTTGACCCCTAATACAAAATCATGGAAAAATAGATTGAAACATTATCACCAGACGTGCTTTTGCTGTACTGCAGCAGAAAATGAGAATTCCACCATAGCAGAACAGTTGTAATAATTGTAGGTTTTTCTTTCCAACAATGGTTTGATCCCATTCTGATGTAAGCCTTGTGAACTTGGTGCTTTGATGGAGAAATAGAGGGAAAAAGCATGTTCTTTTTGAACAATTACTATTAGGGTGATTTCTGAAGGTTGTTCTGATGTAAAATGTTAGCAAACAATTTTTGTTTTAATACTTGATTGTATGGAGTCTGGAGTTCTCCATTCTTCTCTGGAGAATACATTTTCTATTTTATTTTCCTGAAGTGAGAAATCTGAGGCATCCTTGAAAGAAGGTAATGACTACTGACATTAAAAAAAAACCCTTTTACTCGATCCTTGATTAGTTAGTTTAAAACCCATTACTGACTTTATTTCTTTATTCAAACTTCTGTTAACTTTGATAGATTAAGATGCCCTTGGTGTTCTTGGTGACCTTGAGAGAATAAAAAAGAACAAAGCAAAAACATTCAAGAACTGTCCCTTGCTGTCACCTACTCACATTAAATTGAATGTGACCAGACGGGATTTTTCACACTTTTCTTGAAATACGTGGTCTTTTAAACAGTGCATTTAATACAAAAGTGATGAAACCAGGAATTTAATTTAATTAGTTTAAACTTTGCTCTTATTTTTGTTCAGTTAAAGATCATTTAATAGTGTGATAGCATTTTCTGCCAGTTTCTATTTGCTCCAAGCAAGAAGAGTTTCTGCTCATAATTGTTTTTTGTGCAACACAATGTGCTTGGAATGTAATAATTGTAATTGTCTTTTGAATTATTGTTAAATTGCTGATATACTTTCCTATTCTGTGCTTATTGCAATGTTTGCCACGTTCCAGCAAGCACCTTTGTGACAGAGGTTGATTAATGCTGAAATGTCAAGATTGGCCTATTCCTGATTTATCAGCTGAATGTTGAGATGTATTTCCTCCATGACAGCACTATTTGCATCATCCTTGATTTCTTCTGCCTTTGTTTCTGCCATGTCTACATTAAAAAAAAAAAATCGTTTAGGAAGAATACAGAGTAAATTATATTTTTTATAAAGTTTGATGTATTTTCTATTGGTTACATTTCCAAGCCAAGCTCTAGCCTGAAGGAGTGATTGGAGAAGTGATGTCATTTTAGAGTGGATGCAGCACACAACAATTTCCACTGGGAGTAGCACATCCTCCTTGCTGTAGGTCAATTTTTCTAAGATTTTTAGTTCTGGCATAGGGAACCATTTCACCACAAGTTTAAATCCTGTAGATCTTTGGGACTCAAAACAAAACAACAACAAATCATTTCAACTGTAATGGAGAATAAAAAACCCTGGCTTTTAAGTTTGACTTTGCTTGATCACATTTGCTGTTGTTTTCAGTTGTGTTTATTTCAGTGTCTTACAAAACAAAGCAAAGCAAAACACAACAAAAAAAGTTGCCCATTTTAAAATGTTTCCTTAGGGCTTTTTTGTTAATACTGATTTCAGAAGAAAGCTGTTTTTCTTGGGTCTCAAAATACCACAGTAGTAAATGTCCTGCTATCAGAACTGCTTTTGTCAAAAGGCAAAGAAAGCAAAGTTGAAATTTGTTGTGAGCAATTGCCTGTTGGGAAGATTTATTTGCTGATGAGAAGCATCCCAGTGAAACTTGGAATAAAATGATGGTATTATAGACATTGTGGTCAAGGTTTTTTATAACTATGGGTGGTGAATCAGAAGTAAGCTTTAATCTAAATGGATTCAGTGACTTTTACCTGTGTTGTGTGGTCATGGAGAATTTTAATATGAAGTCCAGCTTAATTATACATCAGAAAATTAGAAACATAAAAGTGTTCTCTTCCTTTTTGCAACATTCATCATATTGTTGTTCCGTTAGAATAACTTACATCTGTTCTTTTATGGTTCTTCCCTCTTTTATGTTGCACATAATTATGAGGTGCCTTCTTTTACGCTGACATGTACCATCACTGAAAATTTTGATAGGCTATGAATAAATTCAGGAGATGCCTGTTAATGCAAATGTGACTCACATTCATTCTTATTCAGATCTTTACTTATAGAACAGAACTGTGTATTGAGACAAATTCTGCCTTCAGCTACATGGGTATAAGTTAACTCTCCCCGACTTCAGTGTCACCGAGTCACAGCCGCACATCTCAGAGCTGAAATGGGTCTCTTTTCTTTATGTTCAAAGTTTTGTCCTGCCCAGTTCAGGGTTAGAATGAGTTTGTTTGTTTTCTAATCCTATCAGCAGATCTTCTTTTTCAGCAGAATGGATCCTAAGATTTAGAACCAAGAAAACCACCCATCAGTTAGAAAACATTCATTGTAACTTGCTAATCCTATTTACTCCTGATGGCTTTGTTTCTTAGATTCTTTATTTTTTCTGCTCAGTGAATTTTCTGCTCCTTGAATTAAATGTAATCATTAAGGTCTTTAAGCAGAACTTCCTCCATTGAGGCCAAATCCATGCATTTAGATAAATCAGCTAACCAGAAAAAGCCAGAAACTGAATTTGTTCCCCATTTTTGCTGTTTTTTAGTTACATGTGCCCTTGACTGGCATGGTAGAAATGGAGAACATATTTAGATGTGTGGAGCATTCTTAACATTCAGTGTAGAAAAATGTTTCAAAAGGCTCCTAGGTTGCTATGAAACCACAAGTACTGATCTCAAATGCCTTTGTCAGCCACCATAAATGATCCATAAATGATTTTACTCTGCATATTGAGGACATGGGACACTGCTCTTCACGTGTGCTGATACTCATCTGGTGTCATCATATTTTGGGGGAAAGCTTCTCCTCTGAGCTTACAAATAGAAATAAAACACTTTGCTTGCCAATAGAGGATGGAGGGACATGACAGTCCTTTAGGAAGTCCCTTGTTCTGCCCTCATATACCTTCTGTCTCTAACACTGCAAGGGATTTCCTTTAAATGAATCTAGTCTGTGTTCTTCTTCCTTATTTCAGATGGACCATGACCCCCGAAATCCTGCATATATTGCTACCCAGGGCCCTCTCCCTGCTACTGTTGCTGACTTCTGGCAGGTATGTTAAACATCTCTTTGAAAACTGGATTTATCTCACAAGTTTTCCTGTGCTTGTGTAAAAGTATGTTGTGCTTGAGTGACTCTAAGTGGAATAACCTTAATTCAAACATACTTTTAAAATCTAGTACATGGATATTCAAGCCATTTATGTATAAGACAAGCCCTGCTAAGGAATAGTTTATCTGAAAATTATGCTGAAAACCTTAGGGCAAAGTATTCATGTTTTAGTGCCTGGTCTCTGTAATTAAATTACTGCCAAGTTCAGAGGGCTTGAAGAGTGTATCCAGAATTCATTGTCATTCTCCAGATCAGAAAGGACCTAACATTGAGTGCCATTCATTTTCCATTGAAATCTATTCCACACATGTCCCAGTTCTCCAATATGCTTAAATCCTTATGCATTTCCCCTACCACAGGCAGTTAGGACCCAGATGCATAAATTTAAGTAGGGGCAGAATATTTTGCAGGATTTGGGTCTAAATGGAGTAGTTATTGATGCCCAATTAGGAGCTTATTTTGCATGCAGGTGTTTCAGTGCTGGTGCAGATTTGGACCAACACACATTGCCAGGGAGATGTGTGTGGTGGTGTGATAGATACGAGTGTTAGATATTCCTTTGGAAGTGCAGAACTGTGTCTGAAAGTTTACAGAAGCTGCCTGGGGAGGAGGCCAACTGGGGCTTATTATCAACATGAACATATGCTTTTATTTTTTGTTTTGCATTATGAATTTAGAAGTTTTTGTTCTGAAGAGAATGTCTGTGTGACAGTTTCAGAAATGTCACTGTATTTTAGGAGCTTGCATCAGTTGAAATCATCTCTTCATCTGCATCACTTGACCTACCATTAGAAAGTATTAACTGATCCCTAATGAACACTCTTCATGTCACAATTTTTCTGATGAGAAATCAGGACATTTTCAAAACAGTTGTTGAATTTTGGGTGCATGGATATTGAAGTGCTCAGTCCAAGATATTTTGGGGCTGTTTTCTAGAAGGGCAGAGTAAGTGTTTTCTGCTTGAAGTCAGGTGAGCTTTTGGTCTGGCTTAAATTTTCAAGTAACTTGTGATTTTTGTCTTCACTGTTTGGTAATTAGCTAGAATTGAGAAGACTGATCTTTTTTGCTTGGCACATGGATTCCTTCTAACAGGCATGATACTTGAAAATGCATTTGTTAAGTTACACATGCAAAATCAAAGAGTATGCTAGCTATACTTGAAAGACATTTTATGATTTCTGTGGTCCAGGTTTTTAATTGTTTATTTTTTCATATTTGTACATCTACTTTGTGTATACTTTGATCTGTAAATGTCCCTTTTCATGTTGAAAAATCTATGTTCTCGTTTTTAAATAAGGCATTTAAAAAGCTCACTTTGAGTAAGCATTGCAGAAATGAGAATCTATATGTATGATAGTATACATAGTATGAAGGGTATCTTTTGTTTCTTTGTTCTGGCACCATCTTCATTCTACTTCATACTTAAAAGATCTCTTTCTTTCCTCATGCTATTTTGTGTGGAAGAGTCTTCACTTTCCTTCTTCTCTTTTTGCTATTTCTCTTCCAGTAATCAGTGGAAGTTCACTCCAGCTCCCCACCAGATTTGCTGTAAATGTCTCCTCAGAAACTGTTTGGGAGATGTGGTTTGGCTTTGGTTTGAGTGTGGCTGTGTGCATTTCTGATGTGATGCTCTGTTACTATTTCTTCTGTTAGATTCCATAGAAAAGGTGTTTTCTGACATTTATTTTGATGATGTCTATCGCTTCAACATAACAATCTACCTATGCCGCTGTCCTGTTTTGATCCATTACCCATTTTTCTTAAACTTCCTGCAGATCACATTTCAATGTGCCAGTTCTTGTCCCAAACCTGTTATACAGCCCAGGGTATCAACCAGATGTAATAAACAGGCCAAGAGAGACGAGCTCTTTGCAGAGCACTGCATCCACAACCACTGAAATGAAGGAGACCCAGTGTACAAGTCAAAAGCCATGGCTTGAACATGTTGCAGTTCATGCCCAGTTGCAGGAGAAAAGTTTATTTCTATTTTTCACGTAATAGTACCTATTTTGATGTAAAGCGTGGGAAACCTGAACTTGCTATGGAAAATAGTCTTAACTCCTTTCAGGGCACAGTCAGTTAGTATTTACTTGGATACAGTTTTCTGTAGTTTTTGGTGCTACCATGATGCTGCCACCAGGGATTGTTTAAAGATTCAGTTATTCATTCTTGATACATCTTCTCTGTGGTTCTCCTCCCTCTTCCTCCTCCACTCAATGCCAGCAGTTGCAGAGTTGCGTTGCTGTTTTCCCCACTTTGTGCTCAGTGAAGCAGTTTTCTGACTGATAGTGAGAAGATAGCAGCTATCTGACTGATAGTCAGTCTCTCTGACTGACTCCAGAGAGATCTGGGACTGTTCTGCTGTTCCTTGTCTAAATGCACAACGTCATGCTTTAGCAAGTCCAAGAGAAGCTCTTGGAGCTTGGCATCACCTTCCATGGCAATATTTACTGGATGTATTGCTTCTTATTTTTGCAGAGATTTAGCTGCTGAGATTCCCAAGAGCCAGGGTGCACAGTGGGCATCAGCCACATTGTTGTATCTTGGCTGAGAGGTTGCCCCAGCAAGAACCTGTTGTAATTGTTTCCACTCCTGTGGGTATTTCAAGTTGACTTCTAGAAAACTCTTGTCTACAGAGCATTTGTTTTACTTGAAAGTGTAAAGCAACTTTCTTGGCATTTATAACACAGCTGATACTCACAACAAAATCCAAACTGCTTCTGATCTCTGCTGACTGTCTACATGTCATGCTCTCATTTCAGATATAGTTTCTAAACTAGCTTTTTCTTAAACTTTCATTTTATTCTCCCACCAGTGACTACCTCTACAGTAGCAAGCAGTCTGGCCTGCTATGAATGGATTTGTGGAATGTCACAGTACTTCGTAGGTTTTACCAAACAGATAATTTAGTTTTGGGCAATCTTCTTTTCTAGTTTTACTGGCAGACCCCTCTAAAACCTATTACATTGATCCAGTGCCCAGAATTTTACTGCAAGTGCTATTAGACACTTAGCAATCAAATTCACATTTACTGTATTTGAGTTGCCCAGATCCAAACAAAGATCAGAGTTAGCTCAGTGTCTTTGCTTTCTCAAACTAGGCAGAGCTTTTTCACACAACACTGATGGTGCTTGGTCCAGGCTCGTGTAGTTTAGCATTCTTAGTACGGGTGAGCAGATCCAAGCCTGGTACCACTATGGGATTGAAGAGGCACAAGTTCCACTGATCTCACTAGTAACCACTTCTGTGTCTTTTTGGTAGGGTGGAGAAGAGCAGGTATCATTCTTCAGTGCCATTTAACTTCAGCCACTAGAGTTGGCCATTAGTCTCAGAATTTTCTGTAAAACTTTCTATTATTTTGGGTTCCCAAGATGACCGGAACTTGATGTAAGTTTTTTCTTTCAAAGGCACAGTGTTTGAGCTGGAGATGGTCCAAATGCCTGGATATTGGTCATTTGCAAATGGTGTTTGTATATGTTATAAGAAAAATAATGATAAAAAAGGCAGTAGTCTTACACTGACTTTTCAAATGGCAAAAAACCTCCATGGTTATCTGTGTCCCTCTAGTTTACTTCTCCAGCTCCTTCAATTCTTGGCATAGCTTCTCTAAGTCAGCAAGTGCCAAATTCATTCCAACTTTCCTGGCTTACCTATTTCTTTGAAAACTTTCTAGCCTGAAGGAGCTGTGTTGTCAGTCATCTCATTGATCTGTTTTGCCACAGGGCTTCCTAATCTGTCTGGATGCTCTGTGTTTGCGGCTCAAGCAGAGATTTCATCTCTACCCGCTTGTCATCTCTTGGACCACTCTGGAAATCTTCCAGCCACTACTTTAATTAATTTTGAAAAGCCTCCAGCTGATTTGTCTTCTTTTAATTTTATCTGGTCTTGTTTTCATCTCTTTTTACCAATTACTGTTTCTGAGAAATACATCCTTCATTGATTCTATTTTTGTTCAGTGGGAATTCCACCTCACGATTCCCTTTCTCGAAAACTGGTTGACTGTCCTCACATGGTATTAATCCATTTTTACCTGAGTGGTTAAACAATTTGTCAGGTTTGTGGGTTGTTTTCTCTCAGTTGGAAAGAAAATTCATCCTCAGGACAGGGTTTTGCTTTGATGGAGTCCCATTTTATTTACAAAGAAAGAACAGAGTTTTATTTCCTTGAACAAAGACAGAATCAAATAACAGTCAATAACTTACTTTTTCCAAACCTCATTCACCCAGTGTTTTACCCCCAACCTCTCTTTCAGCTTTTCTTCTACCAGGATCACAATGCTAGTTTGTCAAGCTGTGCTGGTTATTTCTTTATTCCTTTTGCACATTTATGCTGCTTATCGGGATTAATCATCTTGCCTTGATTAATGCTCTCTCTCTGCATTAAGCATATCAGTTTCTAGAGAAACTCACGGGTCCATATGCTTTATGTTTCTCTTGTTTTTGATGATAACTTCTGTAATTTCAGTTATCAGACTTCATAAAAGAGTTTGCTTGTTTCTTACATTTATCTTGAATGAAAGGTGATGATTTTGTCCAGCAGCTTCAGTGAGATTTCACTCAGCTCTTTCACATAGCGCTATTAAAATTCAACATCTCTTTGAACATAATTCAAAAGAAAGAGGATGTAGAACATTTCTGATCTATAACAAGTTTTCGCAGCAGGAGTTCCATGTTCTGAATAATTCTGGAGGCATAAAATTTTATTATTTTCAGTATGTGCTGGGTTGTAATTCCACAAAATATTTGACATGAAGTACATGTCTTAACTTGCAGTATTCTAAGTAGCAAGGGATGATAATATGCAAGAAACTATTTCTAAGAGTTGGGATACTTAGAACCAACTGTCCTTTCACTGAAAAATCGTTCTTATTTATGCTGGTTTTATAAATTGCATATCTGCTAAGGTTCGTCATCTCCAAATAGAGATTTCTGTAGGAGGCCA